ATCAGGAAATGGTTACAAGAAAGTTGGTACTCATTTAAACTTCTTCAGAAACATTAAAACTGACTAAATAAAGACACACAGCATATGCTGTGAGAAAGTTTATTACTTTAATAAAATATTTTTTTTACATTTTTAACACATCTTCACCAAGGCTCCAAATAGGGTGGGGGATTGTTTATGATTGATTCTGCTCATGAATTTTGTAATAATGATACAGCTGATTTGCATGCATTTCACTAAGAAATGCCCTTTGAAATAAATCACATTGATTATTATTTTCAAGAGCTTTACAGTTGCAATTAAACACTACCAATTCTGGTCGAGCCAAACTATGCTCTGGAGATAAGATCAAAATTAAACTGTTTGTAAAATGTCTGAAGGAAACCTAACCCTGCACATAAAACACTCTCCCTGCTGTGAACCCTGGGGGCGGCAGCCACACTGTGAGAATGCTTTTCTATAGCAGAAACTTGAAAGCTGGTTATATATTTGTCCTTCTGTTCACACAAGAATAAATGCATCATTGCATTATATTTGTTGTACATGTCATGCAGATCAATTGAGTCCATGCTGACAGATTTTGTTTCAAAACGGAAGGCAGCTAGCGTCTCTGACACGCATTGTGGTCAGCGGAACTGCAAACCAGTGAACACTGTTGAGAAGAAATTGTTCTAAAAATAAACTAGATAAGCTTTACAAAAATAGAAGTGTGTCTGAAGCAAAAAAGAGAAAGAAAAGGTCTCACATTTTCATCTGTTCTCTCTAAAACCAGCCTCCAGACTCTGACCTGAATTATGCCTCGCTGGATCTGAAGATTGCAAAGAATCGCAAGAAAAACAGACACATGCAAGGCCAGGCACAAGGACGCCACAAGAAGCACGATCAGCTGGCAGACCTCCCGACGTCTCCCTTGAACGCCTTCTTAGAGGTGGACACAGAAGTGGAGGCTCACCTGCCACCCAGAGACACCAATGTCATGGTCTCACACAGCAGCATCTATCTCAACAGTCAACAGATAGCCAAGGAGGCAGAGGAGATGGAAAGAGAGAGAGGCATCAATATGGACAATGAGGGATGGGATGGCTTACGAGAGACCGAGGAAGGATGGAGAAGAGAATGGGATGAAGATCAAGAAAGTGAGGACAAAAAAGATAATTGTGATGGGAACATATGTATAGAGCTTTTAGAGGTAGAAAATACTCAGAGCTGCTCAGATCAAGTCGCTGACAGCTTTAGCCATGATTGTGACTAACTATATTTAAGAATTATATTACTTTTCTAAAACTTTTCAACTTGTATTCTTGAAAAATTTGAAACTATTTTCATATTTCAGAAAAAATGTAACTATCATCTTCAGTTTTCTCTACTCTTCGCAGAGTTGAGCAATTTCCTCCTTGACACAGACAATCTACCTCTTAAAGTCTCCATATTGAGCAATAGGAACATAACTATGCTTCTCTGTAATAAACTACTTTAAAAAAGAAAGAGGAAATTCTGCGTGACATTTAGAGGTCAAGAACCATGTGGAAAGTGTAGATTGTTGTGAAACGCAGGGAAAAGATTGAATCATCACAGGACACAGAGGAACTTTCACTCCTTTGATGTCTCTTATTCGTCCATCAGCAGATGTCTCATAAAAAAGTATAAAGGCAGAAAAAAAAGCATTTCTGTTTTCCATCGTGTGGGCGATTGTAGTTTGAATAACTGCACTTTCCTGTTCCACGGGCAAACTGACTTATAAATTACTATAAAACATTAAGCTAACAGTATAGAAATTGGAAGCAAACAAATAACAACGACAATAATTAAAAGCAGTTTGCTTTTTTATCTTCCCCATGGGGAGAATTGTCACACTGTTTAAACTGCAGTAGTTAGAGAGAAGAGTATGACACAACTGCAAACCTACCAGCACATGTTGATCTACCTAAACTGACAGGCCTTGCAAAAATTATCACGAATCCAAGAAACCTCCAAGAGACTTAAGAGTTTTATATTTTAAAACTGTCATTTTTTTGTTCAACTAATAATTGTTTTATTATGTGTTAGCCTATCACATAAAATTACTTAAAAATGATTGTTTTTCTTGAAATTTGTGCAAAATGTAAAAGTTTAAGATCTGTAAATACTTTTCCAATTCTCTGTAAATTCAGCTTCTAAGAAGTGTCTTATGAGCAACATTTTTGCTAAATATGAAGGCCCACATGTACTACCAGAAAAAACGACGGTCACCATTGCTATAAATTCCGTCAAAGTTTCAGTCGTTACATGACATTGCTCCTCGGAAACCCTGAGGCACTGGATTAATCCAAGCTTTCTTTGGTTGAGCTACAGATTTAAAGTTTCTCGCGACAGCAGATGATTGCACGATGAAAGGTGACAGGAAAATCCTTTCAAGTCATTTCCTCTTTTTACAAAAAAACAAAAGTAAGTGTCAGAAAAGTGAGCCACTGACGCTTGACAGTGACTGCTTAATGTGCGCAGATGCTCCTCTGACGAGACTTGAAACAGTAATTTATTATAATGAACAGCAGCAGCAAATGTCAGAATTACATTTTTATTCCACTGTGTTGCACAAATTGAGAAATAAATGTTACTTCATTCTTTATAGGAAGGATATCCAATCAGTAGTTTTCAAAAAATGTAATTATTTGTCCAAGATAAATGATTGTTTTTGGTGAGTTTAATATTGTAATATTGTTTAATAATACTGAGCGATTTTCAAAAGTTATTCATTGTACACAATTTTGTCATGTTGTTGTTGATCAAAAGATCAGTTAAGCAATTATACCACATTTTTTTAGCCAGTCTAATGATTTCTAGTGATAAACCACTCCACTGTAATGTTAATTTATTATTGTCTTGCTTGTGCCTCTGTGTCATTGAATTGTTTCTTTTTAAATTACTCTTATTACTTTGTTGCATGGCAGCAAAAATGAGTCATAATATTTCACAAAAAAGTTCCCAGTTGATTGTAAATTTAGACACCATCCAATTTTTATTGGTGAGGTAATCCTTTAGTTGTTTCTTGATGTATGTAGCAGCAGCAAGGTTATATATGGATGACTAGTCATGATTGACACCATTAGCATATCTTTAAAACTGCTGCTTTTTTAATAAATGAGAAGACATTTAATCAATTTCATTTAAATTACAGACATGTTATGCAACCAGGACCCAAATTCTTTGTGACTACCGGTATATGCCAGATTTATATCATATGCTCTATATAAGTGCGCTTGTCAGTAACACACACGTTTAAACGCCGATCAAAGAAGCAAAGTGCCCAATATGCAGCCTTTGGAAGAATTTTTATGAGACAGCAGTCCACATTTATCTCACCTGACTGATTATGGTGAGTTACAGTTATAGTGAAATATTCAATTATCAAAAAAAGAAAAAGATGCTGACAAATTAAAGTAGTCTTAAAGTGGAAGACTTAAACAGGGGGTAATATGTATTTTCCTAGCACATGCCGTCATTTTGTACCACAATCAAATAATTATTTTACATTCAGGTGATATGAAAAGTCTGTATATTTATCAAAAGCAACTTTATGGAAATCAACATTAAAACCCAAGTCTTTTGCAAGCCAGTAAGAATGAGGGGCACAAAGTATCATTGGATGTCAGTGTGGAAGCTGTGTCAGTTGCATTTTGCACTTACAAAACGGTTGAGTAATGACTTAAATAATACTGGCTTGTGAAAGTCTTCCACGAGGAAAATGCTAAAAAACAAGTTGCATAAAAAGGTTCTTAATTGTTAACACCCAGTTTCTCCACCACATGTTTTCATGCTTCTATGGAGCTGCCATTGGAATTCACACACATAAAATCAAGCATGACTACTTTTACCTATTGATCTTTGATTTGACAAAAAAACCGGGATGTTTACTACCTTAGCAATGGTTGTTGACGTCGATGACAGTTTCATTCAACTGGTCATGAGATTGTCAGAGGACTTGATGCATTTCTTGAATTACTCCAAATTTTCCCCGCCATGGTTATGTGTTTGCATTTTTTCGTAAATTTCCGATATTATAGTAAATATATTGTTTGTAATTATGAGTATTCTATGTTGTTCATGTATGTTCTCTTTTTGCAATAAAAAAAAAAGTAAATATGTTGCCAAGTTGTTTTCATGATACAAACGCGGGTCCCAATGGCGAACGCTGATTGGTCAGTTGCTGACAAACCCCCATAGAATGATTGGCAGGTAGTAATTGCTTGTTGCCGCTGAATTAGGGCTGTATAATTTGATTTAATGAGTCCATATCAGTGATCATTTTTGAGCAAAGGGGCCTCGACATTTACTTCTGTTATTCTCTCAGCTGGAAACATGGGAGGATTGTGGTTTCTCCTTAAAGCGATTGAAGCAGTAGGAGGTCTGCTGAATTTTATTTTACTGTCCAGATAATTTTTGAATATGTAACGCTGTATCTTTGTCTAAAACAAATATTTATTTCATAAATTTTAATTCATACTAATTTATTCTATTAGTGGAAATTTAGCTTTAAGCAACTTTTAAATAGCAAGTTTTCAAACTACTAGCCAGGTGCAGGGACACAGGTAATTCAAAAGATGTGTCATTTCTAGGTTTAATGAAGAAAAAAATGCAATAAGAAAATTAATTAATTATCTGATAAAACTGATTAACTCATTAATACAGTGCTCACCTTTAATTGAAATTGAGCACAGTCCGCTAAAGATGATTTAAAGTAGTATTTGATAAGTATAAACATAAGACAAATAAAATAAGATGGGCTGAAAAGAAAAACTACTAAAAGCACTTATTAATGTCTCATTAAAGTTTTTCAAATACCGATTACTGGTGAAGTGATACATGAAGACATTATGGATATATGTAAAAAAAAGGATAAAAACTTTCAAAAAACCATAGACTGGACCGTTTTGCTGTGACACCAACCTTTTTTATTTATTTATTTTTTATTTGTGCAAACAGCCGCAGAGTGAAACCTCTTCACAAGCAGAGGCGATCTTTGCTCCAAACATGGCCGCTCGCATGTGAATGTCATGCCACTAAAATCCTTCATGTGCATGAGTTCATTTCATGTGTAATTGGCTGGAGTGGAGGTTTAAACGTAAAACTGGTCTTACGGAGTTTTTACTTTATCCATTAAAGTTAGTCACGCATTGGTAAGTCCAGAATTGCCTCGGATCCGGAGATCGAGAGACCAGCTTACTGAACACATTAGCAAACCAGTGGCTCGCCACCCGGTCAATTGAGATGGATTCTGACCAGCAGCTGAGAAACGTAAGTGGATTTTCCTCTCGCCGATTTGTAAATAGAGATGTGGACGGTGATTCTGAATGACTGCGTTTCTTCCAGCTGCGGGATTTCCTCTTGGTTTACAACCGCATGACTGAAATCTGCTTCCAGCGCTGCACAAGTAACTTCAACTACAGGAACCTCACAATGGACGAGGTACTGGGAGCAGATACAATCACAACCCCGTTATTTAAATACAGTGATACATGCTATGTTTGTAACATGTATCATCTTGTTACAAACGTAGAGCTGATATGTATTGATGTATAGTACTTATATTACAGGTGATGTGATTAATAGATAATCAGACATAGAGAACATGTCTGTACTGTAATATTTTGTTCTGATTAACATTCCTACTATCTGTCAAGGAGCGCTGTGTGGACAACTGTGCTGGGAAGCTGATTCGCACAAACCACCGCTTGATGGGCACGTATGTGCAGCTGATGCCTCGGATGGTGCAGCGAAGAATGGAGGAGATGGAGAGCAAGGCTGCAGAGTATGCAAAGGCAGCCGAGGCTGCAGCTACACCTGGAACCATTGGGGCTGGAGCCGAAGCCGCACCATCAATTCAGACATCTATAAGTTCATCCCCACCTACTCAGATAACCTCATCAGTGACTGAAGTAGCACCAGAAGTCCATGACTCAACCTTAAAACCAGCAGCATTAGAAATTCCAGCAGGAATAGGATTATCAGCTAGCGCACCACTTACACCCAGGACTGATGGTGTAAATGTCTCAGAGCTTAAAGAAACTGGCTTAGGATTTCCTCAGCCTGCTTTATCTGGAATCCAGAATGACTTTGGCAGCCCTAAAGCATCACCATGACCAGAAAATGGACCAAAAGGCAGATCCTACAGGGTCTAAATCATGAGGCCTGACAGGCCAAGAGAGTCAATAATCAAAGAAGTCTTACCGGTCAAACTGAAATCTCTGTCCTCAAGATCCAGGAAAAAAAATCTTTGAAATGACGAGGATCCCAACAGTTGTTGATTATTTTGACAGAGTTCTATTCTCTTTTTATTATTTTTATTTGTTATTATTTTTTAGATTTGTCTTGTGACTGCAGTCATACACATGTCATTTTTTATTTTTATTTTTATTTTAGATTAATAAATAAGTAAAGGATTGCTGAGGTACAGTTTCGGGAAGTGTGGGGGGCTTAAGTTGTTTTCTGATTAAAATCTAAAATCTATATGGTTATGTGCTTTACTGCTGAGGTCCCCAACCCAGGTCCTCAGACCCCACTGTCCTGTAAGTTTTAGGTGTTTCTCTGCTTCTTTACACCTGGCTTAAATAAATGGGTGATTAACAGGCTTCTGCAGTATCTGGAGCTATGCTTCAGTCATACATACATACTAGTTGATCCTATTTAACAGACAGTGCAGTAGGTTTAGTTTATTATTAAAATTAGCTTAAAAAGGTTTCTATTGAAGAAAATTATTTACATTTAATTAAGTTAACAGTTGTGAAAGGTAATGAGGTAATGTTGGTGCACTATGATGTGTCTAAAAACAGTGCAAGTTATAAAATAAATCAAAATTTTTCATGTAGCACATTACGAAATAAAGATTGTTATATATCAACATTCAGGTTTTCAGCTCTGTCAGTCATGAGAAATTAAAGTAATCTGAATTACATCTGAAGGCCATCTTGCTGGATGTTCTAACAAAGCTTCAGGTCTGACTGTCATGATTGTGAAACGAAGTCATGACCTTGGTCACATCTGCCTCCTCACATAGTTTCCGTTGTGTTGCAATCAAGATGATCTCACATAGCATTATCTACTACTCTCATCTGTTACACACTATGTCTACTGATGCTTTGATAAACTGAGCTTTTCAACAACGGCAAAGTTCAACAAGAAGTTGATAGGACTGGCTAAAAGATCATTAGTGATGCTTATAATTCTGTGGTCAACAGCAGGCAGTCGGTTGCATTCTAAAAAGCTTGAACAATTATTTCATCAATGGATATAATGGGACAAAAATGGATAAAATAAAAGGCTACTTTGTCTCCACTCTATACAATTAAGATACTACTATAAACTTGCAATTTGTCTGAACTCATAATGATCAACCCACATTTTTTGGTAGTTTTCTTCATTGATCATTACATGTCTATCACTAACCACAACCCTTATTATCTCAGATGTTTGTTAGCTGGACATTAAGGTAACTTAGAGTACACCAAATGAGTTGAATATGTTATAAAATTACACCATGACTCTTGTAAATATAATATCCTGCCACATATTGCAGTGCTCTGAGTTTGATGTATTGCAGTCTGATGATTACAACTCTACTTCCCGAATAAAAGCAAACTCTGGAGAAACACAAGGAAATATTTATATAAACTACAGCTTTTCATTGTCAAGTATTTCCCATCTTGTTATGTGATTATTTCCTGCTGATTTCTATCTTTTATGCCATTGTTATTTGCATTACATATCTACAATTTTCTGTTTACCTCTGTGTCAAAATGTTTTCTTGTCAGACAAAAAGGTGTGTAATCCGTTTTGCCCCATTATAGCCATTCACAACAGGTGATGGATGGCATATTGATAAGTATCATGATCAACACCTTTTTGAGCCTATGCCACAAAAATAAAGGCAATTACAGAGACAAAAATGTGTCGACTCTAAGATATACCTTCGTGACCAGTGATTGTTTGTGGATCACACTGCAGATGATAAGATATGCCCCCCCCAAAAAAAAACCTTGTGTACTTTAAAAGTTTTATTTCTCCTAAATTTCAAAGGCAGCCACATCGCTGCATTGCCTCCTGCAGGGGGCGTCGCCGTGTCGTTGTCCCAGGATGTGGCTGCCAGGGGGAGATCTGTAGCGCACATCAAGCGGGGCGTGGACTCAGAGCGACCAGTGGAGAGGAGACGGTGGTGGTTCTGGGGAGGGGGGAAAAAACAAGGAAAAACGAGCTCCTCAAGATCCCAACTGGTAAGACTTTCGACACTTCCTCTCATTTTACGCAGTAATGCTTCACATTTTGCTTATGCTGAAAGTTTGGTGGCGGGTTTAATTCGTTATAAAGCAACAAGGGGTTGTGATTCAGAGGGGCCAGCCCATCCGAGCCAACGTAGAAAGAAAATTCAAGGAGGAAATGTTGGAAAGTCCAACTATTTGTTGACTCCACAACACAATCATTTCTTACTCTTTCAAGAGAAGATAATAGTTCGTGGTTGGTTTACAATATAGGAATTCCGGAATTTATGACTATGAGATTGATGTGATAAACCTGCAAGTTAGGCTCAAACGATTTTCTTCTCTATTTACTTTTTTAAAACTTGTTGCTTTTCTTGAGGAGAAAAGTGCGCCTGAGGAATTCTCAAACCCTTTTACAGACTCTATGTCCCTGCTTCTTGAAGAGACTGAGAAAACAAACAGCCACTCTACAACACAAGCATGGATGACATCTTCACACAGTGTCGAGAGGGGAACTCAGTGGCTGTCCGTCTGTGGCTGGACAACACAGAGAATGACCTCAACTTAGGGTAGGTTCCTATGTCAGACCCTAATGTTTGCATTGTGCGGGATTTCTGGTCCATCTGAATGCTGAAATTCATCTGTGAAGTTAGTGCAATGACAGGTAAACACATGTCTTGCAAAAAGTGGTGGTCTTGTCATAGGATGGGCAAGTATGTACGTGCTCACAGGCACATACTTGCGTATTTTGATGTTAAAAATACACACATATCTCAATATGAGATATTACTGCTGCATTACACAACTTGCTTTGGTTTTTTTACTTTTATTTATTTATTTTTTACTGATGATGTTTCTAAACGCAACCCATCTGCACAAACAAAACTTTAACTTTCTGATTAAAGCTGAACAATATGAGAAAAATCATTAAATTTGTGATAACATCAGTGACAATATTTCCACATTTTATGTTTTTTATCTGTCATTCTTTCTCCCTTTTTGAACTTCAGCATCTCTGGCACTTCCATCTATATTAAATGCAGTTTGACTAAAGCACTCTCACTGAAAATATTGCTGGCTCAAAGTGTGAGTTTATAACACCTGGAATAGGCAAATCCAGAAACACCAGGATTTTGTTGTGGCTAACAACTTGCAGCAATACAAAATAATAATAATTTTATTATGATTTTAGTCATTAAAACTACGTGAATGTGCTCCCCATGTTATTTTTTTCCCCCCACAGGCCACTGGTTTGAAAAGTATAAACCAACAACTGCTGACAAATAACTTTTTTATTAACCGCTTTTGCTGCCTTTTTGTGACTGTGGAGACATATTTGAAATTAAAATTGTGATTGCTCAGAGAGCTTCGACTTGCATTGCTGCTTAGACTTTATGAAGAGTTGAATGGCTGAGAAGTTTCTTTGCTTACTAAAGGGGAATCTAAAATCCTTGTTTATGGCCCCAACAAATTGGTTGTGCTCATAAATTGTTATCATAGCCCTGTTTATGGGGGTATATATTGGCAATTCTAATTTGTTGAATAATATAGTACATAAAACAGTGCAAAGCAGTACAATTGTAGGAATTAAAAGTCCCAACTTTTTTATTCTGAATTGTTCAATTCTAAAACTCTTTCCTCTTTTCAAATTCTCTTCATCAGAAGGAGTAAGAAAACTTCTTAAATAAAGACCCTGGTTATCTCATTCTTGGAGCCGGCCATATATGTACAGTTTGCTGAGCTGCTGGCGAACCACGTAACAGCCAAGTCTATTTCCTCTTCTTAGCTCCATACAGGGCCAAGCCCATCGCTGACAGAACTTCTTAGGCAGCTCCCCTACAGTCACACATAAACAAATGAATAAGCAGTCATTATGATGAAGGCCTTCTTTGGCTGTTGCTCCAAGGAAGCTCAACTATGTGGCGCGGCCGCCTCTGTCCCGCTCATACAACCCAAAGAATTGAATAAAGGCTTTATGTGTTGTTGGAATAATAAGTTGGAACTGAAAGAGGTGCCCAAGAGCAGCTGGCGAAGCATTAAATAACCACTCTGCCTCTAGAACCGAGTGACACAGGAAAACAGATGAAAAAAAGGCAGACTTAGAAGGAATGCGTAGCTCAGAGGATTTTCCACTCTGTCATTCTTGCATTTTTTTTCCCTTGTTACTTTTTTTAGCCCACAGGGTAGTTTAGTCTATGAGTTGTCTGTCCATAGTGGTGCTGCATTAGGGCTGACAGAGAATTAGCCTCTCTTCTCTTTCACTTCAGTGTGAGCTGCTATTTTGTGAAGACCTCCTCGAAGTTTATTGTTAAACTAACAGCAGAGTTTGTGGCTTTGCAGGGCGTTGTGAGAAACTCCAGCAGCCGGGAGACTCTGGGTTAGTCAGTGTAATGAGCTGACCTGTTGGGCCCGCATTGGAGGTGACAGCCTGGCTCCTCGCAGACTGGAAGTGGAGGACGCACACTGTGACTGTGTGCGTCCTTGCACATGTTAGCTGGCATTCCAGCCTGTGGAGAAGTATTTATCACCGGGCCAATCATCAGATGGGAAGAGGCTGCAGGCACAGAGAGGAAGCATGTGCTTAAATCTAAATAAAGATTACTAGGAGGTGGGTGCATGAACCTGCGCCAAATAGCAAACCTCAAAGAGAGCGTTTTGTTAGCAGGACAGTCCATAAAATATACTCCACCTTTTCATTTTAGCCATATTAAGAATATTATAAGTATCAAAAATACATTCAGGAAGGCTTTTGTACTTAATTTCCCTGGCACCATCTATATATAATTAGGTTTGGGGAGCAAATACTTTTTCATATAGGGTCAGGTTAATGTAAATATTTTGTCACAGTATTTTTACAGCAGTGACATTTGAAGAACGACATATCAAAATATTAGAAAGAGCTTAGAGATACATATATTTTTGGATGTAAAGTTGTGCTTTAAAGGGCTGATTCTGGCTAGTATCTCACAACAATGCAACATATTTCATTTAAGATGAGAGCAAATGACAAACTCAGCCAATTTTTTTTTTACCTTAAAAGAAAAACAACACTTTTTTGTTCTTATTTTGGGCCACTTGCTAATACAGTACAATCACATTTGAGAGAACAGTATTTCTCGTTTTCCATGCATTAGAACTCACAATGCTACTTCTGTCTTCTTCCACATCATTAGTAAATATTTAATGTGAACATGCCACAACATTGCCTTTGCTTTGTGAGACGTCTTGTCAAAAAAGTTACCTTTTTGAGGCTTTCTTTGTACTTGTCTGTTTTTTCTGCTAGATGTTGATCTGTTTAAGTTCTGCCAGAGTATTGCTCTGCTTTTTAAAAGGAGACAGTCAAATTTAGTCCTATTATTTTTAAAATTATTACATTGTTTACACTGGTGAGGTGAGGTGAACCTTGATGAATTTTTCTTTTCATTATGATAGACTGGAATGATCATATATGTCTGTCTGAAAGTGTTATTTTCCCTCTTGCAAAAATTCAGAACTTCTTATTACTTTATTTGAGAAAGCATTTACCTTTCATATCCCTAATTTATTTTAAAAATTAGCTGTTTCTACTGCAGCTTATAATTCATTTGGAATTGTTACTACCTGAATGGAGACTCTACATACTGCAGTCAAGCGTTTCACTTGCGTCTCTTTCTGTTTGGATGTTTTGATGACCAAATAAATGCAAGATCCCGGCTCCATTTCCTCTCATATTTTTTATTTGTCTTATGTGTTAGAGACGACCATGGCTTCAGCCCCCTCCACTGGGCATGCAGGGAAGGGAGAAGCGGCGTTGTTGACATGCTCATCATGAGAGGGGCTCGAATCAATGTGATGAACCGTGGAGATGACACACCTTTACATCTGGCTGCAAGCCACGGACACAGGGACATTGTGGCTAAGGTTTGTTTTCTTAGACAGTTTATATGCTCATATGCTCTCTCTCTCTTCATGTGTTTTTGTTGCTCTGTTTTATGATGACAGCTGATTCAGTGCAAAGCGGACCCCAATACAGTCAACGAGCACGGGAACACCCCGCTGCACTACGCCTGCTTCTGGGGCCACGATGAAGTTGCAGAGGTGCTTCACTGTACACCAACACACACTTTTCACATCCCTTTTTGGATTCCATCTGCTGGTGAAAAACTGCCCTCTTCTGGGCAGAAACTGCTACTGCAGAAAGACCTGTTTCCTCTATCAATACATTCTTAATTTTGTTCTAATTCTCACGTTGTATCTCTTTTTAGGACTTGGTAACCCATGGTGCCCAGGTGTGTGTATGTAACAGGTATGGGCAGACACCTCTGGATAAGGCCAAGCCTCACCTAAAACAGCTACTGCAAGGTTGGATTTTTTTTTTAATTATAGACTTTTAAACATTGCAGCAGATTTTCAGTAGGATAAAGAAACTTTTATCAATCAGTCAATCAATCAATTAAATTTATTTATATAGTACTTTTCAGCAGCAAGGCATTTCAAAGTGCTTTACATCATAACAAAAACAAAGGCAAATTAAGAACATTACTCTTATATTTTAAATGTTTTACTTTTAGAAAAGGCAGAGAAAATGGGCCAGAACATGGCCAAAATCCCATACAAGGAAACGTTCTGGAAGGGTACAATGAGAACGCGACCTCGTGAGTAGGATTTCCCGAATAAAATAAGATCAAAATATGATG